AAATTTGGCTAAGACTTATTTATTTATTTATATAAAATTTACAAGTATTTAAAAAGGCTTGTAAAAGTCTAAGTTTAAGTATAAGCATTGCGTAAATTATTAAATTAATTATTTATAAAATTACTTATTAAAATATAATTATATTAAAATTAAACTAAAAAATAATTATTATGCATATGCATATCACTTAATAAATTAATTATTTTAAAATTTAAATAAAATATAATTTCCTGCAAATTGATTTTTAATTTTTTTATAAATTATATTATAAACTGCAATTGATTTTATAGCTTTACACTTTTTGACACATTTAAAGTCCATAAATTTGCAGATCTTTATCCCCATGCACATACACATATTTATTTCAGCAACAACTACACTGACATCTCGACAGTAGGCCAAAGAATTTTGTGCAAATAAAAATACAATAAATGGAAATAAAATAAATATGCCTGGGCCCGCTAGCCAACTATGCCAAGCTATTTTCGCCATGGACACCCATGCGAACATTGTTAATTAATTAAAAAAGAAAAACTAACAGACGATTGCGTTGACAAGATAAAGCAGCCAACGGCTAAAGGCAGGAGAACAGCACACACACACACACACACATACTCACGATATAGCCATATGTAATAAATTGTGACAAAAAGTCAGCTAAAATATGTTGGCGAAGGCGTCAAGGTGTGACATTGACCCTCGATAAGTAGTCTGTGTGAGTTTTTGTGCCACTGTGTGTGTCTGTGTGTGTGACTGTGTGTGGCACAAATCTAAAAACGTTATCGCAGCAACAACAGCAACAGCAACAGCAACAACAACAACAAACATTACAATTTAAAAGTGCATAAAAATGTTTATTGGCTGGGCGAAATCAAGTTCGCTTTTAGTTTGCCAAGCAACGACAATAAACTACACTGTGCAACAAAAGGTCAAGTCGAATTTAATTAAAAAGTGAAATTTGCTCAAATTTAAAAAAGTTGAATAAAGAATTAGAAAAAATTTTATTACATAAAAATAGTATAAATATATGAACATTTCTTTCGAGATATTCGACTTGTTGTTCAGTGTTAATAGACGGTCAGGGCCAAGTTTTAGCTTTGCTGCTGCTGCTGCTGCTATTGCTGTTGTTGCAAGTGGCAAGCCCGCGCAGCTGCTGCAGCAACAATAATAGCAACAACAGCAGCAGTAACAACAACAGCAACAACAATATAGAACACAGCTGTGGCTAAGACAAGCTCGCATAGCTAAATTATTATCAAGTTCTTTCTCATATTTTTCGCTTGGTACAAATTTGCGCAAGGCAATTATTGGCAATAGCAGAAATATTTTTGATTTGCAATTTTCTCACGGCCCGCAGAGCGAGTAAAAGCCTTTCACAAAAATTGAGCAGCCAATTGGTTTGTCAATGGCACAATTGAATCTTTCAGGCAGATTCACAATTAGCCAGCAGCATTAGTGGCAGCAGCAGCCACATACTGACAGCAGCAACGACAACAACATTGGCGCATACAAATGGTGTTAAAGCCTGAGCGCAAAATGTAATTTGTTTTCACACAACATAATCAACATGATAACCCCGGCCAAAACGTCTTTAGATTGAGTCTAATGATGATAAACGCTTTTACTGTGAGGTAACTACAGACTTCTGACACCGACGCAGCAGACACAAACCATTGCCCACACCAGTGCAGCAACAGTCGAAGAGAGAGAGCGACCGACTGGCAACTGGCAACAGGCAACAGGCACAACGGCAACAGCAACTGCTGCAACTGGCTGCATGGCCAATAATAAGTCAACATTCCAAGGCGTGTTAAGAGATGCTCGATTAAATGCCTCAATTGTGGCTCATATTGAACACCAAGGCGAGCGCGACCCAGCAACATCGACACCACACACCACCTGTCTGCAAAAAACGCGCTGAAGAAGAAGAAGAAGAAGCAGCGGCAGCAAATAGCACCGCCCCCACCAACGGTCAACTTTGTACCCATTGCCCGCTGTCCGTTGTCCGTTGGCTGTTGCCCGTTGTCTGTTGCTTGTTGCCTGTGTTGCAAGTGTTGCATTGTTGTTATTGCTCGCAGTGCTTGCCTGACTTTTAGCACTGAGCAACAACAGCTCGCAATGGGCGAAATCGTTTAGTGTCGTACCTAACTAAGAAAACGTATTTTCAATATCGAAATTATTATTATTAGCTGACAGCAAATCGCAGTTTTCGACTGTTGCTGTTGTTGTTGTTGTTGTTGCTGTTGCTGCGCGGCGTTGCCGGCGCATATTGTAATAAATGGACAGGCCTGTTATTGTATGCACTTTGTATATGATATGCGAGTACTAACCCAAAACTTGGCTCGAGCACACTACAATAATTGAGCACCATCAATTGCTGTTACACTTTGTCAAAGACTACAAACGAGGACAGCAAGAGTTGCAGGTGAGAGCTGAAATGCTAGAATGTTGTATTGATTTCATTTAATTCATTTCATTATACTTTTTACAAAACTTGATGGCTTTAACCTTTTAAGATATATGTTTAATGAGAAGGAAAGCGAGAAATACAGAAATTGTAGAAGGAAATGAATGAATAGAAAAATCTATGTGAATTATTTAACTAGTGTGACAAGGCTTTATTGCACATCATAAATAGATATATAGAAACAAAAGTAAGATAAAAAGTGTTTGGCAAACTTAAAGCATTCATTGCTCTTAAAATAGGGAAGGTCTAGAAATTAAATGATATGGGGCTATGTAGATTTTGTGCAAAGAGTAAATTATTTAGCTGCTAAGTATCTTAGAAATATTAAAAAGGTCTTTAGGAGGTCTGAAACAAATTACAAAAATTTTTCAAAATATGTATATATAACTAGGCTAATATATTGTTTTATTTTTTTAAAATTAGTTTAAAGTGAAAACGAAATATGCACAATCTCGTAACAAGAGTAGAATCGATTTATATGCTAATCTCAGACATATCAATGTTATTTAATAGTTTAAAATACTTAAGAAACGATTGAAAACAAGTTAATAGTAATAAATAAGGATTAGTCGAGCAGTTTCATTGCGCATAGGCTACTTAGTATTTATTGCTGTATATTTAATTAAGAATCGGCTACTGCATATATGCAGTATTTTTTAATGCATCCTTATTTATTTGTATAATATTTTTATATACATTTTATAGTATGTTCAAGGCTTCATAATGAACAGACGCTGCAGCAGCAGAGGCAACCTCTGGCATCATAATTTTATTTTATTTTATTTTTTTTTCTGCTTGACTTGACTCGCCATCTGCGACTGCTGGTCGGTTTCTAAAGGTGAGAAACTGGCCATATTGCTTGCGGGCAGCGCTGCACCCCCCTAACACACATATTCACACACACACTCACACACATACACACACACACACACACATAACACAGCGCAATTATATGCCATTTTATAAATACAAGTATTTTCAATAAATATGAGCATTTCTATCGAAAATTTATGCGCAAATAAGCAGGTGTTTAGTAGTGACGAGTCAAACGCTGGCCGACAGCAATGGAAAACACATAAATGCCGAGCTAGATGCCCGGTGTGGCACCGAAGTGTGGCTGGTAGTAGTTGTAGTTGTAGTTATACAGATGATGAGCTGTTGGCTCTGGGCTCTAGGCTGTGGATTGCGGGTTGTGGGCTATGGGCCATGGCTAAATGGCAATCCGTTACAGTTGTCGATCAGCTAACAAGATAATTGTACAAATACAAACACCACAATGAGGCACAACAACGAGAGCTGTGATAAGCAACACGTTACCCAGTATCAAATTACAGATCTTCCAATTAACTGACCAATAAGCGGCAATGCTTTTAATTTGATAATAGTGCAAACTCACGCCCAGCGGACGGCAACAGCGTACTGCTGTTGCCCAGTTGGCCAGCAACTTGTTCCCAGCAGCAACAGCAACAGCAACAGATGCAACACGGACGCAGACAAAAAACAATAGACGCATTTGTAAGACGCCCCAACGGGGGGCTAATAAACTCAAAGCAGAACAATTGCTGGCATTTTTGACAGCAAAATTATTTAGAATAGTTTCATATATACTTAGACTCACAATAGCTTAAACTAACAACAACAACAACAATTTGACTTCAAATGGCAGATCATTATACCAGGAAATCTTTCCCAAACGAAAAAACTTAAACATTATTTTGTAAGTTATTCATAGAGCAGTTATAGAATTCACATTTAAATGGGTAAATATGTAATTGGTTCTGTAAATATTAAATTTGCATTAATAATAAAAAATTTGCAATAATAATAATAAATAAATGTTATAATGAAATAAACATAAAATACAAAATCAATGGAATTTAATAAATAAAGTGAAAAATAATAATAATAAACAAAAATATTTATGTAAATTATATTTGATCAAAGTTGAGTCTAAGCATATTTAAAAACAATTTAGAAACACAATAGCAAAAGATTTTTTTATTAACTATTTATATGCGTAAACACCATATAATATAATAGTTTGAAAAGTACAAAATATATATGTAGGTATACAAAACAAAATAATCGTTGTTACTGCCCAGATAGTCTTATGAAAAAGAGAAAATAAATAAAACAAACGTAATTTAAAATGTTTATATAAATTATCTTTAAATTTCAATTTTAAAAATGATTATGTTTTTATTTTATTTTATTAATTAATTATTTATTTATTTTTTTTTTTAAATTTTTTTTTTGTATTTGCCAACGTTTCTTGTTGTCATGGGAAACGAGTTGCTAGATTCTGAACAATGCGCAATTTATGAAACTTCTCTATGGAGCACTTACCAAATAATGTTTAATGAGAACTTATTGAAAAGTTGGTATGTGCATTAAGTACTTAAATATGAGCTAGGCACAAGCACTTAGCATCAATCAAACACTAAACAAGAGTTTAGAACGGCAGCAGCTGAGTTGCCAGTTGACATATGAGCAACAGGCAGCAGGAGCAGCCGCTGGCCCTGCCGCTGCCGCTGCCGCTGCCACCGCTGCAACAGTTGAAAAAGCCGAAAGAAGAAAGAACATTTTGCCGCCACACCAAGAGAAGCGGCTACTACACAGGAACTGGGAATGGGTAACCGGGCCGCCGGCTGACTAACAAGCGGAGGTAGAGCCAGAACCCAAACCAGAATCAGAGCCACAACCAGAACCAGAACCAGAACCAGAAACAGAAAGAAGAACCTCAAGCATTCAGAATTATGTAACACGGCATTTGCAAGTCAAGTCTGTGGGATGTCACTGTTTGGATAGACAGGCGGGACAGCTGAGCAAAGTCGCCGCCGCCGTCGTTGAACTTAATCTGCGAGCATGACTGTGCACTATTCGCAGAGTGGAGGAGCAAGTGTGCGCGTTGTCCTGGCAAGGTTGTTATGGACGCACCAATGTTTGTTTGTGCATGTAAACACGCCGGGCGATACGCCGAATACAGAAGGAAAACGCTAGAAAAAGAAATGCCAGCTCGAACGAACTCCAATTCCAGTTGAAGCAACGGCTGACAATGATCTCTAGACGCGACAAATTGCTGCAGCTGCCCTGGGAGGAGCTGCGCTATGCCCAGCATCGCGAGAAAGTGATGTCCGCACGTCCGGCGATAGATACCAAGTCGCCCCGCCGGCACGATCATGTGCAGCGCAAGTGGAAGAAGCTGCAGAGCGAGCGGGAGCGCCAGCAGCAAATCGAGCGGGAGAATCTGCGCCTGCTGCAGAAGCTGGGCGACATCATGAGCACCAAGCGCATGAACAATCTGTGGCTGGAGCCGCGACCCAAGTATGTTTAACCAAATCTGAAGATTCTCTACAATTAATTTTCGCGATTTCCTTTAGTTTTTTGCACCGGGAGAAGATGTTTCACACGCGCCCCTACTCCAGCCTGCCACAGGTTGTCACCATTTACGGCGCACAGCCTCCCGGTCCGGTGCTCTATGGCAGTATGCCCAAGCCAACGGTTGTGGGCCGCTGTCCCACCTGCAGCGGTAATCCCGAGCGCACCCAAGTGGTTATTCCGGAGCAGCGTCTGCCTTGGCCGCCCTCACGCAAGTCCTCGAGCCGCAAGCAACAGGAGCAACAGCAACAGCAGCAGCAGCAGCGCTGCTATCAATGTGGCGGCATCAGGCGCACGGAGCGCAATCTCTTCGAGGACTACTCCTTTGACTATGAATAACAATCGAGCAGACAAATAAAAGTAGCTAGAAATTTATTAAACAAGCGGAACACACACAATCACGCCTTTGGCACATTGGGCGGCAGCGTGGCAAAGGTGAGGAAGCCCGTGTGGCCGGGCAGCACTTGGGGATTACTGGACGTTAGATACTTTTTCAGCTCTTTGGGGTCCTTCGTTTTGCTGTCGTCATTCGCATTTGGCTCGCTGCTCTTGGGCGCCTTGAGAAACTCCAAGTCGATGACGGGAAATGATCGAGTCTTAATCACGCTCTCCTGCTGCAGCACCTCCATCGAACAGATCTCATTGAAGCCCAGTTTGGTGAGCACATTAATGCAGCGCTGCGATTGCTCTATGCATGGGGAGAACGAGCAAAAGCGACCACCTGAAATTTATGAGAATGTGAGATTGATTATTAAAGATGCTCTTAGTTCGGGTCTAAAGATTGGACCTACTGTCTAGTTTATGGTCTCTTCATTCAATAGATATTATAAATGTGAAACATTTCTGTAAATATTGAAACAATTCCAATGATTCGCTCATACTTTCTTGACATATTTCTCTATATATACTCCATCAATTCAATTTTGATTCCGTAATCTTTTACATGCATCATAAATCTATACGACTTTCTCATCATATTACATATCACAATATCTACATGTGGTTATCCATACGAAGTGCACATTCTTATACCGATCGCAGCTGCAATGTTGCAACGCGCATTTGGTTTCGCTAATGAGTGACAAAGCTGCCCAGCGGGCTGCCTGACCACGTCAACTGCCAAAAGCGGGCGCATTCAATGTCAAACACAATGAAATGGCCAAGATAGACAGACAGACCGATAGACGGACCGACAGACAGACAGACAGGCAAAGAGTAAGAGAGACAACTGACTGACCAACCTGGCCAGGGTCTTGATTGCTGCTGCTGCTGCTGTTGCTGCTGTCGGCTGCCGCGCCAAAGGGCGCTGACAACTTGTTGTCAAGCGGCGACTGGGCAGTCGCGTTTCACTTACCCGACAACTTCAACGCCTTGAATGCATGTGGCACTGCCAAATCTGGCGAGGGCAGATCCAAAAAGACCGCATCGGCCACACCGTCCAGCTCGCTGGTGAAGCCCAAATTGCACACATCTCGATGATAGACCGTTACAAAGTCGGCGAGCCCATGTCGCTTGAATTCGTCGCGCGCCTGATCTGCTCGCGCTTCATGGAAGTCGAAGGTGTGCAGGTGGCCCGTGGGTTTCAGGGCGCGCAAAAAATAATGCGACAAGGAACCGGATCCGGTGCCGGACTCAACAACAACTGCGCCGGGACGCACCTCCAGCTGATGCAGTATCATGCTTATGTCCGGCGTATATATGATTTGTGTGCGATGCGGCAACGTTTGTGTCCACAGTTCGGGATTTGGCTGCAATACATGTGCATAACCTTTGGATAGCTCCACGCGACTGCCATACTCCACACCAATAATACCTGCCGACGTAGTACATTAAAATTAATTAAAAGTTTACTAGTGGTTGGACTAAGGACTTACTTTGCACTTTTAGTGAGCCGTAGGGCGTCTGGAAGATATGCGCTATAGTTTCGCCTTTCTTGTTTACTATCGTCGGCACCGCTTCTATGGCGTGCATAGAGTTCACGCTCAGATAGAGAATGACAATGTCACCTTGCTCTATGTGTGTTTTGGGCTTCAAAAAACTCATTGTTATGGTCGATCGTTGCGATTGCCGGTTATTGTCGAGGATATGGCGAGAGGCACGGAGACGCGTGGGCCAACTAAACCGCGAGCGGCAACATTAATACCGAATTGTGTGACCAGCATAATTGGCTACAAAAATACCCAAGTGAATTTATTTATTTTAAATTATTTGAAAATGTTTCGAACTTATTTTCGTATAAAATACACTCGAATATAAAATCCGAGACATAAATAACATGAGTTAACAGTTTTATTACGGCAACGAATAACAATTAAAACAATAGTGTAGCCAGCTTTTAAATGGTGTGCAAAAAATACTAATAACTAATAACTGAAGACGCTTACCAACACGTTTTTGGTGCGACGAGCAGCCGACTTCGCGTTGATTTGCTTCTTCTTTCCCTCTTTTGGTTTTTTACTACAAGTATGTAAAGCCTGCTTTCTTTGAATTTGTCAAATAATCTGTGAACATCCTAAAAACGGCTTAAAAATTTTAGTTAATTGCCACTCACGATTATTGACAAACATTCGCTCTATAGCAATATGACTTACTTATGTAAATCTCATTTTCTTTTTCGCACAATTTTATGCCTAATTGGAACCTATCTGTGATTACTTGGAACGAACTTCAACTAAAACCAATAATTGAAACAAAAACAGCCACAATATGGTCCAACGCTTGACTTTGAGGAGACGCTTGTCGTACAACACCAGATCCAACAGGAGACGCATGTATGTAATAAATCAGAAATTATGTTGTTTTTGTAATCTAATAAGACGTTTGTTTACAGTGTGCGCACTCCCGGCGGTCGTCTGGTCTACCAGTACGTGAAGAAGAACAAGACCGTGCCACGCTGCGGTCAGTGCAAGGAGAAGCTTAAGGGTATCACCCCCTCCCGCCCAAGCGAGCGTCCACGTCTGTCCAAGCGCCATAAGACCGTGTCCCGCACATACGGTGGCGTCTTGTGCCATGGCTGCCTGCGTGAGCGCATTGTGCGCGCCTTCCTTATCGAAGAGCAGAAGATTGTCAAGGCACTGAAGAGCCAGCGCGAGGCGCTCGTTAAGCCCGTCAAGAAGGTGGAAAAGAAGCCCGCCAAGGCGGCGCCTGCCAAGAAGCCCGCTGGTAAAACTGTCGGCAAATCCGCTGTCAAAACTGCATCCAAGAAACCCGCACCCAAGGGTGGCATTAAGTCCAAGAAGTAAATGTGCTTAGGATTTTCATTGAGTTAAGAATTGGACGAGGAAGCATTTTGTAATAAAGAAAATACAAGTTGGAAAATTTACTTTTAATTTTTGTTTCTGCAAATTGGATAATGGTTTGTGACTAGGTTAAATTATCAGCTGGCCGAAGTTTAGCAAAATACCGAAAATTTACCATTCACATTCATAGTTTACAAGCACAATCGTGCAACTGCAGCAGGCATTGATAAAGCCACGCAACTGCACAATCTCTTTTTACATTCTCCTGGTTTGTGTCTGAGCTAATCGAACAGCTGTTTCGCATAAATTGACATTCACAGATCAATCAAAAAAAGTAATGCGGCTGCTAAACTTAAAAATTGTCAGAACTCATTTATGATGCCACTTCAAGCGAATGTCAGCAAACCGAACGAATCGTACGTCTATAATAAATTGTTTTACTGTCACATTAAAAACTTAATTTTACAGCACAATACGAGTGCCGTTCGATACGCCGGAGCATGCTAAGATTGCCTATCGAGTGTTGAGTGTGGATCAGGAACCGCGTCGAAACTTTGTGCAGAAAACGCTGAGTCTGGAGGACGATGTGCTTGTTGTCCACTTTAGTGCTGACCAAGTAAAGAATTTACGTACTGCCATAACATCGTTCTTTGAGTGCCTGCTACTGTGCCAGGACACAATTAAATTGTTCGGCAAAGAACCAGAAGCGTAACAAAATAACAATGCCGGAACACAGCCCAGCGCCGACTCCACATAGAGCAATCTATGGATTTGCATTTTATATACTTTTCACTGTGCTATTCTTTGTATATGTGGCGTGGGCCTTTCTACCGGTGGAACTGGGCATGCACTCCTATTTGCCGGACAAGTATTTTGCGGTATTCGTGCCAGTGCTGATTATGGTCTGTGCCTTCTTTGCCGTCATCATATATCCGGCCATCAATCTTTCATTGACCCCCGATATCGATTCAATTGCCTCGGTTGCGGATCTCAAGCTGGTACTGCCCAAAGGATCAGAGTTCACCTCCTGGTCGCAGCTACAGAGTCAATGCTCTGCAGCGACGCCCAAACCTAATCGATCGCCAACCACCACCCTGTGCAATCTGTGCAAAACGGAGCACGTAGCAAAGACTCGTTTGCCCATACCTCCACTTCGATTTCTAGACCTACAAGAAGTAAACGCCACATACTACAACTAACAAATTTGCTTTTTATATTATTTTCACTTGCGACGCACTGTCGTCCAGCCTTCCTCTGGCTCCACAAACTGTTCCGCTTGCTGTTTGCGTGTCTGAGAACGGGTTACCCGCCCACTGCTTGTGCCGGCCTCTTCGTCGCTGTCTGCTGCATTCATGGGATCCTCGGCACTTTCGTCATCGTCTTCCATATCCTCATCAGACGATGAGTCGTCTATGGGTGTGTATGTAATTTTGACATCGGGACGCAGCCAATCCTTGCCTTGTGGTAATTTGCTAAGCTCCATTTCAATCTGCGGGTATTGGGAGGCCATTGCCATTTGCTTATACCGCAATAGATTTTGGCATATTTCGGGTATGGAATGATCGTCGCATAATGTGTTGAATTCCTGATCCATTAGCTCTTCGATCACCTCCTGCAGTTCACCCTGCGTTATATTCTCGTTACCCACACAGTACTCATATGTGTAGTCCATTATTTGTATGGCCACCTGCGAAATTGTTAGGTTACATTTGGTTTGAGAATGAAATGGAATATTTGCGTACCTGCTGGCCATTGCGTCCGCCCATGCCATGCTCTACAGCCAAGCGTAGATTTTGCCAATTGTTGAAAATCCTTTCAACAATTAAGCGAAAATTCTTATGGAAGTCGGTTTGTGCCATAGCGTGCTATACCAGTGCTGTGCAATTGTAAATAGATACTTGCCATTCGCATGTCAACATAATTGCTGACAGCTGAACTTTTGTTTACATGTCGACGCGCGAAATTATGTCGGACAGCGAAAATGTGGAGCAAGCTCCAAATGAGCATGAGTTGAGCACGGAAGCAGACCTAGCCCATGCCTATGAGGAGGATGATGATGATGACGAAGATGCAGAGCCAATAACCGCACAAAAGGTGAGTTCTCAATTAGTGGGCTGAGAGACTACTTGTATATTGTTATATTTTGTAAACGCAGGTTCTGGAAATTTTGGAAACCGCTTGGACAAACGAGATGTTTGCACCCGAATTGTTGCAACACCAGTCAGACATGTTGGAGCTAATGATGTCACAAGTGGCCCATATGGAAGAGCAAATGAAGGATCTAGACAAGAATGACTTTCGTTACGTGGTGCATCAGATGGAGCTGGAACGCATACGCTATATTATGGCGAGCTATTTGCGCTGTCGGTTACAAAAGATCGAGGCCTTCACGCAGTACATCATCAATCAGGATGCGACATACGATGCGGCCGACAAACGACTCTCGCCCGAAGAGGCGAAATATGCACAGGAGTTCGCGACAAACGTGGATGAATACTTCAGCAAAGTGGCCACACGGTATATGCCCAATCAGCAGCGGGGTGAGGCCGAGCAACGAATTGTGGCGCCCAATCTCATGAGCCACGTATTTCTCAAGGCCAATGTGGCAGGTACGTGGACTCTTCACAAGTTATGTATTCTTCTATAAAATTAATTTGTTTTTAGTGTCTGGCGTTATTGTGGGCGTTGATGATGAAGAGGTGGATCTTACGCCAGGGTCTCAGCACATCATTCCCTATCAACTGGTGGCCGATCTTATACAGAAAAACCAAGCGAAACTTATATAAATATCTGGGAAATACACATTCAATTTAAAACTATAATCCATCAGTGAACCAATTTTTCGCGCTCGAAATGCAGCCAGTGTTGGTATACGCGCATTGTTGCTGCCTCTGCTGCTTCCTCTTCGCTAACAGCTGGCGGCTTAGTAATGACGTCAGAACACGTATTTCCAGTGGAAATTATTAGGTACACACGCCACGACTTAGTCTCAGTTGTCAATGTGGCGCGCAATTACGCGGATACCAAAATCACTTGACTCTCTTGGCCAAGGTGTCACAGTGCTACATAAGCAGTTCCAACATTCCCAGCTGTACAACTACAACCACAATATCTGCAGTAAAACCAATTACCTCAGCTTACACAACCAAGCGTCGCTCATAAAACCCAAATATAGAATGTCGAGTGTGAAGCCAAAGGTTGTCTTTGTTTTAGGAGGCCCCGGGGCGGGCAAGGGCACGCAATGCTCGAAAATTGTCGAGCGATTTCAATTCGAGCACTTATCGGCTGGCGATTTGTTGCGTGAGGAGCGCTCGCGCGAAGGCTCTGAATATGGCCAGCTTATTGAGGAGTACATACGCAATGGCAAGATAGTTCCCGTGGAGGTCACATGCTCACTGCTGGAAAATGCGATGAAAAACTCCGGCAAGTCACGGTTTCTTATCGATGGATTCCCCCGAAACCAGGACAATTTGGATGGCTGGAACCGGCAGATGTCCGACAAGACAGAAATGCAGTTTGTGCTGTTCTTCGATTGCGCCGAAGATGTGTGCGTAAAGCGGTGCTTGGGACGCGGCCAGAGCGGCTCCGGCCGCAGCGACGACAACATGGAAAGCTTAAAAAAGCGTATCCAAACCTACAACAACGACTCGTTGCCCATCATCAAATACTTTGAGAATGCAGGGCAGGTCAAGAGAATCGACGCGAGCCCCGATGCGGACAAAGTCTTTCAGGAGGTGGAGCGTGTGTTCATAGCCAATGGTTTCCAATGAAACTCCCTGCGGAATCGCCCATTCAATTGTTGACACTCTAGCTTGAATTGTGTGTGTTTTCCTAATATGTGTGTAATCTTAATTGTACATCCCCCCCTTACTTAAATATATGAATATTTACGCTTGTTATCATAATTAGCGATACAATCTTTCTGCGTGAGGGAATTTACGGGCATATCAAAGTTAACAAATTTGTTACTTAAAAATAACAGCGTCTAGCATATAAAACGGCAGGTGAATACGGTGCTTAACTAATCCTTGCGCAGCTTGTCCAGGCGCGCTTGCAAATCGGCGTCGGCATCGGACATGGGTGTTGAGCCACCGCTGCCACCACTTGCACCGCCACCACCTGCACCGCCGCCACCGCCAGAAGATGGCCCGCCGCCTGCTCCACCTGCAGCAACAGCCGCAGCTGCTTTCTGTGCACCCGCTCCGCCTGCTATTGACAGCGAACCGGAGGCTGTGGGTAGATCGCCCAATTGCTCTCCTAGCTGTAGGCCCAGCTCGTCAAGCACTTGAGAGACAACAGCGTCAGTCTCCTCCTCATCGCCCTCATCCTCCATGGCATCGTCGATGGCGTCGTTGATCATCTCCTCCTTCATATCCATCATCTCCGACTGCTTTTCAAAGTCCTGCAGTATCTTTTGTATTTGCGGGAGATTCAATTGACGATTCATGTTCTGCATGGCCTTGGTGACACCTGCGAAAATAGCGATATCATAAGTTAGCTGTGAATCATCGATGGAAACCTTCTCTCCCCTCACCTTTCATTGCTTGGGCCATTGTGTTTTGAGATTTAAGCGTTTGTATTTTAAGCGAGACCGCCTGAATGTTGGCCTTCATGAGCATAAACTTCTTGGAATAGCGGCGCGTGCGCACTAGATCCTTGGCCATGATCTTGACCGCATCCATTTGGCCCTCTTTAGCCATTTTCTTGATGTCGGCAATGATTTTCTTTTCTTGTTGGTCCATTTTCATGCGCTCCCGATCCAAATCACGCATAGCCTTGTTCAGAGCACGCTGATTCTTGCGCAGCATCTCATCCGGTGAGATCTTTTTGCCGAAAAGCCAATCCATTTTTCCAAATTAATAACTATTTACGTCTTAAGAACTGTGCAGGAATTAAAATCTTAAGAATTACTCATCAAAACAACAAATGATGGTCTGGCGTTGCCACTCAGTTGGTTAACAGAATTTCTTTTTAGCTAACAGAAAACTCCCATTATTAACAGGTTTTGTTAGGTTCATAAAAACTGTTGCTGGCATTTTTTAATTTTGTTGTTTACTTGAGCTGCAAAATAATTATATTATATTAGTGTGGTAAAAATATTTATTGAGTACTACAGTTAATGTTCACTACTTGTTTGTGTTTGGTAATTTTCTTTGCTGTGTGAGCACCGTACTAAGCATTGCGCCACGCCACACTGCGTCAATAATGTAAAGCTTACGTTAACGTTATATTGTTTGCCCTTACGTTAACATCTGCATAGCTCAGCTCACAACAACAAGTTTTGAGTTTGTGTTTCATTTTTCTAATCAACAATGAAGGAGTTCGACGATTTCAATTTTAGCGTGGATAAATGTAGGCGTTATTGTCAATTAATCTGACTTGCTCTTAGCACATTCGTTTTATATTCCCATAGACACGAAGGAGCTGACACGGGAGTGTGTGGGCGGTAGCGATTTGCAGCAGCGAAAAAAGGAAATCGAGGCCTACAATGAGCAGACGTCGGCAATGCTTAAGCAGACCTGCAAAAAGAACTATATGCAGTTCATACAAACGGCCAAGGAAATCTCACGTAAATGGAAATTATTACTTATCAATTGTTAGCCTTAATATCTAAATGTCTGCAGATCTGGAGTCGGAAATGTACCAGCTGTCGCACATTCTCATTGAGCAGCGCAACATATTGGCTACCATGACTGATGGGAAGACTTCAAGCAATCTCAAGGCGGACTGCATCGAGGCGGAGAGCAGTGCGGCCACTGAGGACGTGGAGAACAGTCAGGCGACGCGCGCTGTTAAGGAAATGGTGCAGGGCTTCAATGGGAATCTTGAAGGAAAAACGTTCTTGAACGAGGGAGCGCTCATTGAATTGGATGCCAATGATTACCGGCCTATTCAACGCGTCTTCTTTTTCCTGTTCAACGATGTGCTCATTGTGTGCAAAGTGAAGCATGATAAGTAGGGCATCCTTAATTTATTCCATCTGTCCATCTCTCATTTCATACTTCCTCTTACTTGCAGACGCCTTGAATTCCTTACGGAATACGATCCCAAAAGGATAGCCGTTATCAATATCAAAGATCTGGATGGCGTAAAGAACGCCATCAACATTATAACGCCTGACGGCTCCAAGATATATCAGAGCATCACAGCCGCCGGCAAGAGCGAGTGGATTGAGAAGCTTGAAGAGGCTTTTCGCTTTGATCAGCAAAAGAAACCAAAGAAGGGACAAGCGCCGCAGCCACCAAATCGATCCAAGCAACAGCAACAGCAAGCCCAATCCAAATCTGCCACTCCCGAAAAATTGCCAGAGCAAAGTCCCACAGATGCGCAGCCGAAATCCCTAGAGGATGAAACACCCGAATGGTTGAGCACTGCCAGCGAGGAAATTCAAACGTTGGTGGCCCAACGCCACTTTGAGGACGCGCAGTCGCTGATCAAGCGCACCCAGGAGTACCTGAGCATGGCCCAGCCTAAGAACAAACTGCTCCAGGCAGATGCAATTCAAGCAAAGATTAAACAGCAGGAACAGAAGCTGACCAATGTGCTGCTCCAAGAGCTGTCTAACAGTCACAATCGTAATCTGCAAATCGCACTGCGTGAAGTTCGGCGCCCCCTGAAGATACTCGTCGAGATGGGTCGCTCCCGGCAGGCGAGCGCTACACTGCTGAAGGTCTGCACGGTCAGTTTGCGCGTGGCACAACGTGAGGCGCGTCGCAACAATGCGGAAATATCGGAGCTTTTCTTCTGCGATTTGACGCAGGTGGCATGCGATTTCCTCAGCGCCTTTGAGCAGCAGCCGGCCTGCGTTAGTGGTGAGTAAGCATATTGTTCGATTCCTATCCGCAAGCTAAAATTTTTCCCCATAGCCCTCGTCGTGTGGTGTAATGCGGAGCTGCAGTACTTTGCCAGCCAGTTGATCAAACACTACCTGACCAAGGGCACCTCCTTGGAGGCGGTGGCCAAGTGCGTGGAGCGCGTGCGCAAGCCGGCCACAAAGCTAACTGAGATTGGCCTGGACATAAGCTACCATTTGGAAGGTCTATTGCGCACAACGCTCGAGTCGCTTATCGAGGAGTCCAAGCAGCGCTTGTTGGACGCCGTGGGTCGCAACGAAGAGAGCTGGCAGCCGTACAACTTGCAAACGAAATCCAATCTAAGGCGATTGCTGCTAGAGCTGGATGCACTGGGCATAGATGTGCGCGCCCAGACCACTGGTGATACATGGCTGAACCTTACCCAGTCCACCGTGGTATTCGTACGTCAATTTCTGCAACTGACCGAACACTGCGGCTGCCTGGCCAAAGGCGAGACGTTGCTGCAGAGCCTGGAGAATTTATTGCGTGATCTCTTTTTGGCTCACCATGCCCTGAGGCCACCCAGCGACATGTCAGTGGATGTGAGTTGATCATTCACTTCACTAAATCATCGTAATAACTTGTAACCCATAATCCACAGCCCAACTTTGTGATGAAGAACAAAATCTTTCTGGTGGACAATCTCCTGCCCATTGCCATCGAAAAGTTTCGCAAGACATCGGGTCGCCAGTGCGAGACCATGCGGGAGCTCCACACGAAGCTCTCGCGCCAGCAGGGTGCTCCTGTGCCGCGCCAGCGGAGCGTCTACACGACCGATGTATTTTAGGAGTAGTCAACTTTGCTTTTGATTACATATATAATTTTTTATTTTTTTTTCGTTTTGCTTCAATTATTTATAATATAATTATATACATATATAACCACAATAATAATAATATTTGTAAAATTAAAAATCGAAGCGTGTGCTGCACTCTATTCTCTGTTATTTGCTTATTACAATTTCCG